TGTGTGTGTGTGTGTGTGTGTGTGTGTGTGTGTGTGTGTGTATATATATATATATACGTACACACACAATTTATATCACCTATTTACTATTTGAATTGACAAATATTTGGATGAATATAGCGTCAGGGCTTTTTTTTTATTAAAATAGTAAATTGTCCAACTTTGGGCTACAAAAGGAAAAGCCTGATTCTTCTTGAAGCATGTAAAATCCTAGAAGAAAAAAATCCCTATTTTTCATTACAATAGTATACCATAAAAATGCTTTATTTTACAAAGACTTTTAAGATTTAAATAAATAATTTTTTAATTTATATCATGATGTATTAACTTTCATGATACAGTAATAGGAATGAGACTGTATTTTGCATTACAGTATTGAGAACTGGTGGTAAAATGTTGTTGTATTATTTTATAAAATGTCAAACTATAAAATGTTTTATACATTTTTATAAAATGTAAAATAATTTTCTTTTAAATCTTGACAACAGTAATTGTTTTTGCAATTCTGTTTGGTGGTGCAGAATTTAGACACTTATTCTATCCTAACCTTATTCTATGAACAATTGCTTTATGCTTTATATTCATGACCTTTCATTTAACTTGATGGAAAATATTAAATAATGATTTATGAACAGAGATTCGGTATCAAGACAGTATGTTGAATCAGTTGTAGTCTAAGGAAAGTTATTTTAATCCACAAACTGTTTGTGCTGTTTTAATGTAGCCCTCCTGTTTGCATGTGCTCAATCAGGTCCTGTTTAAATCACTCTGCTCTGCCCTTTATAGATCCATGGACATTCCTGTCCTGGTCGGCGACCTGAAGCTGGTGATAAATGAGCCCAAACGCCTTCCGCTGTTTGATGCCATCAGACCTCTGATTCCTCTGAAGCACCAGGTGCAGTACGACCAGCTCACGCCCAAGAGATCCAGGTGAGAGAGGAAACCAGGAACACAGACAATAATGAGGTGTTAAACAGGGGTTAACAGGGTGCGATCCATCTGAGAATCATGGAAATGTTTCTGTGCATGAATAGCAGAGGAATAAAGACAGAGAGAAAGAGGACATTGGAAATGAGAGGACGAGGTAGAGTGACAGGCAACGCTCTCATCACCAAACAGAATCATTGTTTTCTCTCATTCTCAGTCAGACGTGGCAAAGGAACAGAATAATGACAACAGTCATTATTTTTGCAATTCTGTTTGGTGGTACAGAATTTAGACACCATTAAACCTAACCTTATTCTATGAACATGTCCTATGGTTTATGTTCATGATCATTTAACTTTATAGAATATATTAAATAATGATTGAATAACAGAGATTCAGTATCAAGACAGTATGTTGAATCAGTGTAGTCTAAGAAAAGTTATTTTAATCCACAAACTGTTTGTACTGTTTTAATGTTGCCCTCCTGCTTGCATGTGTTCAATGAGGTCCTGTTTAAATCACTCTGCTCTGCCCTTATAGATCCATGGACATTCCTGTCCTGGTCGGCGACCTGAAGCTGGTGATAAATGAGCCCAAACGCCTTCCGCTGTTTGATGCCATCAGACCCCTGATTCCTCTGAAGCACCAGGTGCAGTACGACCAGCTCACGCCCAAGAGATCCAGGTGAGAGAGGAAACCAGGAACACAGACGATAATGAGGCGATAAAAAGGGGTTGATAGGCTGTGCTGCTTCTGAGAAGTATGGCCATGTTTCTGTGCATGAATAGCAGAGGAATAAAGACAGGGAGAAAGAGGACATTGGAAATGAGAGGAGGAGGTAGAATGACAGCACCGCTCTCATCTCCAAAGAGAATCATTGTTTTCTCTCATGCTCAGTCAGACGTGGCAAAGGAACAGCGTTATGAGCACAGAGAGAGGAGCGCTATTCAACCGTGTCTGATGCACAGCGCTAATAGGGCCACAGTGAACTGGATTCGGTTTCCTCTCGTGTCTTTTGTCTTTCTCAGAGAATTGTATTTTTATTATATACATCTGGGTTATTATAGTTAACTAAATAATGAAACTGAAACCATGCCACTATTTTGTCCTCTTTTGTTATGAGCAGGAAGTTGAAGGAAGTCCGTCTGGATCGCACACATCCTGAGGGTCTGGGTTTGAGTGTTCGAGGTGGGCTGGAGTTCGGCTGTGGCCTCTTCATATCACAGATAGTCAAAGATGGACAGGCAGGAAATGTCGGCCTGCAGGTAAGAAAATCAAGTTTTTATAACTCATATGTATATAAAAAGCATTGCTTTCACTGTTTCAGCAAATAATGTCCCGTGTACCACTTTTGTGTGTTGTTGCTTCGTTTAAAATGTTGACCCAAAGTACACACTATCTTGTCTTATATTAAATATCTGACAACAGATAATGTTAAAGGGGTCATATGATGCTGCTAAAAAGAACATTATTTTGTGTATTTGGTGTAATGAAATGTGTTTATGTGGTTTAAGGTTCAAAAAACACATTATTTTCCACATACTGTACATTA